TGTGTGTGTGTGTGTGTGTGCGTGTCTATGCAGGCTTGCCGTGCCGCGATGCAGTACTCCCCCCTTTGCGTGCTTCTCAACACCAGCCTGTCTCCCACTTTTCCCGTTTTCGATGCCGTGGGGGTACTCTCGCACCTACGGGCGTGTGTGTGTGTGCGCGCGTGAGGGAAAGAGAGAAGATATAGAAAGTGATAGGCGCTGGGGGGTGGTGGAAAACGAAGGGTACAAAGTTTGGTCACGAAAACACAAAAAAAAAACAAACAGAAGAAAAAAAAACGGGCGATGGGGTGATGCCGACAAAAACTGCTGCTGTCTTCGCGCTCGACATGAGCATCCCAGCGGCGACGCTGCCGCTGGCGGTGGAGTTCTGCCAGCGGTCCGCTGAGGACACGATGCTGTTCGCCCCCCGTGACGAGATGGGGCTGCTGCTTGCCGGCACCAGCGACACCCTCAACCCCCTGTACTGCAGCAGCAGCACTGGGGTGCGCTACGGACACATCTCTGTGCCATGCGCCATCGCTGCGCCGACGGTGGAATTCTTGGAGGCGTTGAGTCGTGTCACGGCTCCAGCCGACGAGCGCTACGGCGTTGACTTTCTTGAGACGCTCGAGGTGGGCGTCCACATGCTCCGCGAGCGGACAGGCACCAGCTGTTGCTACCGGCGCCTTGTGTATCTGCTTACCGACGCCCGCACAGACGTGGCGCGGAAAAGCAACATCTACGCACTGTTGGAGGACATGCAGCGGTGTGACGTGTCGCTTGTTGTGTTGGGTGTTGACTTCAGCGACGATGATGATGCGTCGACGAGCCTTTCAGTCAAGATGGATAACGAGCAGGTGCTGCGCGGCATCTGCGCCTCACTAGGAGCAGAAAGCGCTGTGATATCGCTTCAGCAGGCGCTGCGGGACGTCAGGGCGCTCTGGTGGCGGCACAACGTTCCGCCGCGGCCGCTGCTGCGCGTTGTGCTCGCGGTTGGCGAAGTGCGTGTGGCGGTGCAGCTCTTCAACATGACGCTGGAGGAGCGGCTGCCGGTGCTGAAAAGAGCCACAGTGGATGGGCGGGAGGTGGATGTGAGGGTGACATGCGCTCCGCAGCTGCTGTCACAAGGACTCGTGCGCGGCTGCTGCTACGGCCACGGCTTCGTCCCTTGTACGGAGGCAGACGCGCAGTCGATGCGTATAAACGAGCCGTGCGCCCTTGACGTCATTGTGTTCGTACCGTTAAAGCAGGTGCCAGTCTACGTGCTGATGGGCGGCACCAAGGTGGTTGTGCCACTCGCCGATGACGTAAAGGGGGTGCGAGCGTTCCGCAGCATCGTGCAGGCAATGGTGGCGCAGGGCATGGCGATGNTCGTGCGTTTTGTGCGTATGCGTGGCGTCAATCCTGTTATCGCCATCTGCGTCCCGTCGACGAGCGAGGAGTGCGATGTGCTTTACTTTTCCCCACTGCCCTTTGAGGAGGATGTGCGACACTTCCAACTGCCGGGGCACCACAAACTAAGCTGCGGCGCCAAGGAGAAGAAGAAGAAGGAGGAAGAGGAAGAAGAGAGCATACTTGTTGCATCACTTGTGGAGGATATGACGGTTGAAGAGGACGTACTTCTGCCGTGCCACACATTCAATCCCGTCATCCAGCAGTTCTACGCGACGGTGCGCGCGAAGCTGCGGCGCAGTGTCGGTTGCAAAAACAGCAACATCGAGGGTGGGAAAGAAGTCCATGAGACGGAAGGAATAAGTGAGGAAAAGGGACAC